GGATCAATTTCATGTAGATCTTGGTGTGACCTTAAACTAACAGAGATCCACCTGTCTGCATTTCCTGAATCCTGGGATTAAAGGTGTTTGCCACCACAGCATGGCCTCCATGGCTAGGTAGCATGGCTTCTGAGATTATCTGCAGTGGCTTTATTAAATCATACAGGTATATCACATTTTCTGCTATTTTTAAATCTCTCATAGAAAGAGGTCTTATTTTTCTGGAAGAAACTACATTAATTTTTATTGGATAAGCAAAAATAAATATTTCAAACTTTAATAAAATAAAAGCATTAGGTCAGTGTGATGGATCATCATGTAAAGCTCCTTCCCATGTCAGTCTAGTGACCTGAGTTTGATCCTCAATATCCAGTTCATAGGTGAAGAAGAGAATAATTTCCATAAAGTTGACCTCTACATGCAGATTGTAAATGCAAATAAAACACTTCAGGAATATATAACATAAAGTTGACGAAACAATAATGAGTAATGTTTTTTCTATGGTTCAAAATAAAATTTGTTTTGAATTTTAGGCACTTGGATATTAATATAATTTTGATGTAATATGTAAGTTCATGGCAAATGAGCAAACCAGACAGGTCAAAGAGGACAAGAGAAAGAAATGTGACTCATGTATAACTTTGTTTTTTTTTTCTTTTTGCTAGTGCTATGTTAAAAATGTGTTATATTGCTCTACAATAAGATGTGTGGTAAAAGGGTTTTATGTAATTGGTGATAAAAGTTCATATGGGTGCATAAGTAAGAAAATTAAACTATAGCCATAAGATTTTTAAGTATCATAGAAATGAAGGAAATAAACTGAAAACTGCAAGTGTGTTTCTTCAAACATAACAAGTGTTCATCATCCTCCCCCCAAGTACCAACATCATTTTCTTCACTCCACAGCACATGCAAGCTACCTAATCTGAGAAGGAAAAAAAAGTCTTTTTCTTGTGTCATATTTCTTGTTCATAACTTTTCAAGTTAATGTACTTGGCACAGTAACATTTCCTGTTAATATAGTAAAAGAAAAGAAAATATTTTCTTTGATGTGTAAAAGTTACATCTCATGCTCTTTGTTCTTAAATGCAAAAGTAATTGAGAAGAGAGGAGAGCAAATGGGGTGGAAGTCAATTTACAGAGCTTAGCAATAATGGCATCTGCCACTCTCATTCATGGGACAATACGTTCATTGAAACTCAGACAGGTTGTGTAATTATTCTCAGCACAAATATACCAGATATGGACACATGCATACGCTCCCTCCCAACCTGCATCCCTTTCTCTACTTCCATCATCTAGTTCTCTCCTCTCCCCCATATAACTCTCTCATGTGCACACACACAAACACACCACAGCTTTGACAATTTCCCATTCCACTAAATATGTGAAAAACAAAACAGAACAAAACCTCTTCCTTGTGCTTGAAGAGGATCACTCTCTATCTCCAATCCATTTTGAATTACATTTCTGATTTTGCAGGTCTACAAGGACATTTGTGTAAAAAAATCTCCCGGGTTTCCTTTACAACTAATTTGAAAATGACTGTGATTAGTTATTTCTATATTGACTAATATAATTTCACTGTGTTTACTATATTGATCCTATTTGTACTGTTGGCAATGTCGTTTAACCCATTAGTTTGTTACTTTGGAATACAGTTTCACTGATTCTCCAGACTATCTCTGAATTACAAACCTCACATCTGGAGTCCTGTTCCTCAGCCCTGTCTGCATTAGCAAAGTCAGCTAGAAATTCTAGCAAGAAGGATCCACGCAGTTTCAGAAACTGTATTCTGTGACTATCTGACAGACCACTCTTGTGATCAGGAAACAGGAGTTTTATGTTCTGCACCTGTGGTTTGGGTTCTCCCTCCGAATAGGTTTTTAAAGGTTGCTTCTCTTCTGTCTTTCATTTTCAGGGCTTCCACTGAAGAACTTATATCCTGGGTAAGTTTATTTTAAAATTAAGTTATTTTATTTTTTATTTTAGTGATTTTTATGACAATTTCTCCCATTATTGGTACCAAAATCCTTTATTTGAATAAATGGTACAAATTAAAGAACTTAAGCAGATGTTTTGTTGACTTATAGAAAAGGTAACGGCAGCCGACATGCATGCACTGCCTCAGTGATGGCTGACATCACTGGTAGCTTCGGGAGGTTAGCTTAGCTCTCACTATGTCCCAGGGTGTGCTTGTCAAAGAGATATTCTGCCATGCCAGCTTCAGGGGCTCCCATCTTGCACAAGTTGGTCACGTGCTCACCCAGGTCTTTGATGGAATTCACCTGCTCATACAGGTAATGGGTCTCAATGAAGTCACACAAGTGGGGGTCATTTTTGTCAGTAGCTGAGTATGTTATAATTGTCAGTGAGACTGTGTTTACACCTACTAATCTCTTGCTGTAGATGGACAGGATATCTTTCACTTTCTAGATTCTTCATCTTTCTTGACTTTGCTGGAGGGATTGCTTTAATCCTTGATGGGTTTAATCACTAGTCAGAAGGCAATTACCAGGCTATAGGTGATCAACAAAATAAAATCATATCTGCTTCTCAAAGACTGAAAATCCACCAGGAGGAAAGGAAGAACTTCACTTCCATTCAAATATAATGTGCTACTTAATGTAGGCATCTTCCAAAAGAATTAAAGATTTTTGTAAGAAAGAAAATATCAAGCCTGTAAAACAGTTAACATAGGATATGAGTATTTTTGTTCTCACTGCAATTGTATGGGGCAATTAGTGAGAAAAAATGTTCAGCTATCCTCTTGTCTGTTAAATTGTACTCACGTCCCATTACTCAACTACACTCACAGCAAAGTAATTTTGTTCATTTTATGAAATGTGAGCTTTGTTTGTCCCAAATTTCTTAGTTAAAATTGTCTTATACACAGCCTTCTTATTAGTTCCTTTATGACAGTGGTTTTTGTTTTCATTTTTCCTCACATATTTTTGCGTCAGTAGTTTCAATAGCACTTTCATTAAATTAGCTTTTAAAAAGAAAAAGGTTTAGATAATTCTTTATGAACAACTTGTAACCCTGTCTTTCCCCTGAGTATTAGACCATAATTAAAAGCATCTTCTAGGCCAGTCCAATGGGGCCTCAGATTGTCATCTCAAACTCTATTTAACAAAATTCTGTTTATATTCACTTGTCCTAAAGCAACTAATACATCAGTTGTGGTAAAATCAAAATGCTGCCATTTTAGCCATCAGCATAGACTGCTATGGAAGTCAGTGTCAGCCATGAGAACACCATACTCAGAAGGATTGTACAATTTTATTTTAGTATTTGTATGTATGTATGTATGTATGTATGTATGTATGTACATATGTCTTTCTGCATATACATCAATGCATTATTTAGTATCTATATGTGTGTATGTATGAATGTATGTGTTGTCTGCATATATCCATGCATTATTTATGTACAGCTCCACTAAGAAAAGGTTGTCAGATACCTTGTGACTTGAGTTATAGATGATTATAAGTTTCCATTTGGGTGTTGGGGATCAAACTCATGTTGTCTAAAGAGACAACCAGTGAGCTTAGGCTGATCCAGAAGAAAGAGAAATTAAATTTGGTGTTGTACTACTAGGATGAAGACAAACTATCAAACATAAACTCATCATAATAGTTCCCCAGCTATGAAGAGATTAACAAGCTAGACACATAGTTCATTTGTAGACCACTTGACTAGTCTATTTGGGGCTCTAAGTTCAATCCCAAGTAAGTACTACATATAAAAGCAATTATGTAAATGAGTCTTTGTGTACATATGCTCATATGTCCATAATTGCTTTTTATATATGTAGTAGTACTTATATGTCCTCATATCCACAAACATGCAGAGAGTTACATGTTCAAATGTGTGTATGTATGCATGCATGTGAACACACACACACTTTTTGCAATTTAAACTTTAGACTTTCTTAAGCATTTCACCCATGTATTTACATCATTTAATATACATAATTTTAAAGAAAATAACAATTCTTTAAAAACATAATCAAAGAGACATCAGGAATGAGCAAGCAGACAGAAGTATGGTGAGGGTCAAGGTAGAAAGTGTTCTTGAGCAATGAACTTGAAGAACTTGAACTTCTCCCCTCCAGTTTTGAAGTGATGTTCTCTAGTACAGGCCTCTAGTTGTTTAAGTTGTTTAAGGGCTGTCCTGGACAACTAAACACTAATGGCAGTGCTAAAGGAGCTATTTATTACAGAATATTACTGATGCTATAATGTAGACACAGAGTTTGGCTCCTAGAATGTGGATCATTCTCAGTCAGGCACAAACTGGTTTCTCATTGGGCTTTCTGATTTATCATTTCCCATATTTCTTTAAATACTGACTTTTTATAGATCCAATAATAATTCTTTATGCACTAGAAATGCAATCCTTTGCAATAAGAAGTTACTAATTTTTCTCTAAGGAGTGTTTTAGCTCTGCTGGCCAATGCTTGACACATAGTTTTCCTAGTTTGTTTTATATTGTTGTAATAAAGACCACAACCAAATTCAACTCAGTGAAGAATGTGTTTATTTGGCTCACAGGTATCAGCTCACCACTGAGGAAACCTTGGCAGGAACTAAGGCAGGATAAGACCTTTTAAGAAGGAACTTACACCTTGACCATGGAAGAATTACCAGCCTGTTCTCTATAGCTTTTTCATTCTGCTTTCTTATACAACCTTGAAACACCTGTTCCACTGTGGCACTACCTCCAGTGGACAGTGAGCTTTGTCTTCCCACATCGATCATTAATTAAGAAAATTCTTCACACAGTTGAAGACAATCTGATAGAATGGTTTTCTCTCAATTGAGGTTCTCTTTACCAAGATGAACTTGCTTTGTGTCCAATTGGCAAACTAACCAGTGCAATAGTAATTGCAATCTTAAAACAATTACTTCACAATGAACTATCTGAAATCAAACACTTACTCATTCTCCTTTAAGGCACACACTCAGGAATCCTCCGTTGTAACAGTTTTTACTCACCATGTTTATAGGATCAACTGGTCCAATACTGTTCACATAAACATCAGTTTCAATTACTGTGGGCCTCACTGCAAATCAACACAGAATGGTTAATGATATCAAGGATTGTTCCAGAGGAGCCATAAATTTAGTAGTGAATCATATTTCATTATTTCAATTATAATGTATCTCATTATGAAATGTAGCAGCAAAAGCCAGTTACAAAATCATAAAAACTTTTCAGTTTGAAATCAGTTATATATACACAAGTTAATGAGTTAACTAAATATTTCATGGGTCCAATCTAAATTCATTATGTATGTCTGAAAATTGCTGAACTAAATAATAGACTTTAAATTCAGTAAAAATTTTACCAGATTTTTTTTAGTTCTAGACCTTTAGTATTAGAATATATTTTTGTCTATAAATAATACACATTTTTATTTAAAGTTAATGAAGACTTTGTTGGTAAGTGCATAACAACCTTGCTCTCAGAGAGTGAGGAAAAGACTCTTGATTTCCAACTGTTCCTGATTTCTAAAAGGTTAATTATTGCAGGATGGCTAGTTTAAATATACAAAGTGAAGTCCCTAAATACAGAGTTGAGAAGATATATAATAAGTGTATACTGAGAGCCAGTTCTAACATATATTGAAACCCATAGAATGGGTATTAAAGGAGGCAATGTGTCTAAGACTCTGATTCCATGACTGACACACATGAGGACCTTAATAATTATTCATTCATTACTCTTTACTTTCTCTCTTGAAAAGATATTCCTTTTCATATTGATAGTTGGATGTTACTGATCACTATATAAATACTTCCATAGTCCTCATCTACTTTGCTTTGTATGTTTCCATTAGGGATTTCTCAGGTAGTCTTTTAGATGGTATATCTGATCTTTGCGTATCCTTTCTAAATGCACCTCAATGGCAGGCATTTTAAATGGGTATAAAGTTATATAATATATAATTAAAGCTTATCAGCTACAGTCCCATATCTGATGGTCACTGGGGTCCTCTGTTCCCATTTAAGCTTCCCTCTAATGAGATTTACCAGATTAATGGCAATGCTCTTGTCTGCCATGAAAAATCTTTTTACCTAATTTCTTAAACTCTACTCATAACCTCCATACTATTGCATGTAAAGGCTCCTTTAGTCTTTGGTTCAGTTGCTTCTAGTTGAGGAACACACATAAAGTGTTCCCAAAATAGACATGAGAGGACAAGAGTTACATAAAAAGATCCATCATGTCTTCCAGATAAATGGATAATGAGGAGAAAAGTCACCTTGTGGTTAGACGTTTGTCTGCAATCACAAACATGGTGTTAATCATGTTAATTCAGTTCAGATTCTACCACTGTAACCCATGTACAGTTCCCCTTTCTGAACTGATATTCATTCCTCATCTTCAAGGGCTGTGCTCACTTTCTGGGCTACACAGGGACAAATCTGTCAGTCTTAATATTTTTCCACCTATGGTTTACTGGTCTATCTGGCAAAGCCCTCAACCTACAAAAATTCAGTGGAAATTGGTAGTCATTTTGAAAAATAGTGCTCACAAAGCTACAATGTATATTTTATGAATCCCTCACAATGACTAGCATTTGCACTTGAGGAATCATTCATTCTCTATATAGATTTTTATGTGTACCCTCAGACAAAAAATTATTAAAAAATACACATATTTTCCTAACCAGAAATATAAATAAATGATGGGGATATCCTTCTGTATGGAGTGAATATATGTTTCCCTTTATGGTTAATTAATAAAACAGCCAATGGACAGGCAGGAAGTATAGGTAGAGCTACCAGACTAGGAGAATGCTGGAAAGAGAAACTCAGACAGCTGCCAGGGAGATGCCATGCAGCCAACAAAGAGTAACACACCAGAGCATTACAAGTAAATCACAGCCTCATGGCAATACGTCTTTTAATAGAAATATGCTAAATATTAGGGGAGAACTAGCCAATAATATGTCTGAGTCATAGGCCAAACTCTTTATAATTAATATAAGCCACTGTGTATTTATTTGGTACTAAAAGACTGCAGGAACTTGCTGGAAAGAAAATCCATCTTCAAATTTAGTCATTTTGAATTAGTTTTGATTTTTTTTAAAGTTGAGTTTTCAGACAGACAGAGCACAAAGAAAGGTAATTCATCTTGCTAGCCTCATGGGGTTGTCTTAAATAAAATAGATCACATGATTCAGAGGTTTGAAATTTATATGGGAGTGATGACTTCTGAGATGAGTGCCTTTAATTGTCATTTATTTCTGCTAACTATTTACTGGAGGCAAGAAATAGATAATTAAGCTAATTACAGCCAGGATTTAAAGGATAATTTTTATGAAGCCAATTAACAACATTATAACTGGTTCCTTATTTGAATTTGTAAGTATATTTATTGCCATTTCTAAGCAATTACAACTGATCTAAACACATGAGTCTTTCATAATCATATTTTTATTTATACTCATAAATCAACAAATATTTGGTTTCTTCATTTAAAGCACAACAGTTAGCACTGGGTACTGCCTACAGTAAAAACAAATGACTCTTCAGGGTATTTATTTTACAAGACCTGTTTACCACATGAAAATGTAGCAACTTCTACATATTAATGAGTTACTTGACTCCATAATATCAATATTTCTGAGCCAATTATAAGATGAAGCTGTGCATGTTAGGCAAATATCAATTCTGGCATTGGGACAGGCTACATGACATTCCATTACTGAGAAAAGGCTGATCAATATAAATCACAATATAAATCAAGGCCACTGAGGATCCTACAAGGGAAGGATCATCATTAGTATAACATAAAATATTTGCTGTTGATAAAGATATTCTGATTCTAAAATTAGTATTTTATTAATACATAAACTACTTATTTCCATATTATATAAGCAAGCAAAATTTGGATTAAACAGGAAAGTGTATTTTTAAAAACATTGTTTTCATAAGACCACAAAAAAGGAAAGGATACCAAGATAAAAGTATTACTAATAGAAAATAGTCTCCAGGTTTGTTTATAGAAAATAGACAATTTTCACTTTATCCTATTTGTTTTTCAGTGCTCAGAAAAATATTCCATTGACAATCACAAAATATATGCTTTCTAACTATGAGTCCATTTTGTATGCCACATGGTAAGTGGACCTACAGAAGATGAGGAACTAATAATGTGTAAAATAAAGAAAATATTTCAGATTAATTTGGAAAACAATCTTTATGATTATAAAGCACAAAATACAGAATAAGAAAAATATAACTGAAATATGTAACTGCTTTATAGCAGTGACTCATTGCTCCTATGAATTATTCTATGAATATTGTTTATAAGAAAAATTCCTCAAACCTAAAGGCTTTTATAAGTTGAGAAGATAATTTTTCTTGACATCACACTATACATCCTGAGTCAGGTAGCTACTGCATTTCTATATTTAGAAAGGAAAACATATTCCAGCTGGATACTAGAGAAATGCAATTTAGAGGGAATGCCTCTGGGCTCAATAAGTGATTCCTTTACAGTCAGTACAGATAATGGTCAATTAATCAATGCACAAAGATATCAGAGATCTTCTATGCCACAGTCTAATAAGAAATAAGAAACCCATGCACTGACAGAAAAAAATAGCTTTCTTATATAGAGAAGATTGTAGGAATTGCTGGATCAGTTTTGTAACGTTCCTCCTGAGCTGTGGTTAAATATTCTTTTCTGTGTTTCAATAAATTATATATACTTTTAAATTTTATTAGGTATATTACAATATGTTTACAACATTTCTCCATTCAATCTCCTCCCTCCAAACCCTCTCCTATACACAAATATTAGTCTTTAAGAAAATTAGACCATATAGTTGGCTGAGACATTTTAGGTAACAAACATATTTTAATGGTTATAAATTATATTTTATTTAAAAATAATATAATGAAACCAAATATATTACTGTTTACAAATGGTACAAGCCAAATTCCCTCCATGAAAAGAGCCACCTTTTCTAATCATTCTAATGCATTCATTGATCATATTCTCATAGTCTTTCCCAAATACAAAATTTAGATATCAAACTATGCTCAAAGATTAATGAAGCTTTCCTCATAGTTTATTTGAGGAATAAAATTTTTTCAAATTTCTTCTAAAGGGAATTATTTCATCCAAATTGTAGAATTGGGAGATGACTGAATCTGGTTTATTTATTTTTCAGTCTTTATTTATTACAAATTTGATAAAAACACAAATATAGACAAAAGCAATGGTTATTTTCTACTGGTGCCTTAGCCTATAAAGCTACTACTGGAGTAATTGGAAAAGAATTTTCAGAAATGAATATCAACATAAAGTACTATCATTATAGTTTGATGGTTGTACAGTGTGTGCATGACATTAAACTAAATAGAAATATATGTTGATATCCTCATATACCTGTATTTGAAAATCTCTAAATATTTTGGATGCAAATATGAAAATAATGCAGAGATGAGGAAAATTTTCAGGAAACAAATGTTTCAAAATGAGCACAAACTCAAGTCTATGATAGCTGTAAAAGAACTCTTACAGTAATTATCCGTGAAGAATCCTTCTAATATTAAAGACACTGAATTTGTTATTGCACATCTTTCAACAAAGAAAACTTCAGGTCCATATCACAGCTTGTACTGCTTCACTAAGTTGGAGAGAAAATGGGAATAAGTGCTGTTGAAACAGCTTAGGATTTCTCTGCAACATGGGAGGGGACATGGACGGGGATCAGAAATTCTGCATGAAACATCTCCAGGTATGCTCTCCCAAAGTTGTACCTGTGATATTGACAAATAGAATGTAAACAGCTGTGTAATATTTATGATACTGGTGAAAATTTTCACTTACTTCATCAATACCTCTGCTACCAAGAAACCAGGTTCTGAACACACTATCTTAAGACTAGACAAATGATATCTCCATTGATTAGTAGAAAAAAATTCCAAAGATAAAAATATTTCTAACACACTGTTTACTTATTAAAATTAAGCAATAAGCATTAATCCTCCATATTTCCAGGAAGAAATTAAAAGGGAATAATCTCTGTATGACCAAGGCATT